ACCGGTTAGTGCAATCGTTTTGGAAACGATGGAGGATGGAATACTTGCATACTTTGCAGTCTCGGCAAAAATGGAACACAACAGACAATGGAGGAGGATAGTTCTAGAATGTCACGTGATCTTCGCAACCGAAGTAACATAAACGCGCGCGCGGCCCACGCGCGCTCTCTTCCCTTCGCGCACTAGTTGGAACCACACCGCCTAGGACAGTCGAGTCCTAGAGGGCTTTGCCCACGCGCACAGCTAGTTCAACCGCATTAGCCCGGAGCAGTCGAGTTCCGGGAGTAACCGCCTCACCTCGTGTGAGAAATAGTCGCGCACCGCTCTCTTCCATCGCATCAACGGACAGTAACGCATCTCTGGGGCCCCAGAGAATACGCCAGAAGTCGCACCGCAGCAACAAAGCGACCAAGCCGCATCGAAGCAACGCCCCGGTGAGTAACTTCCAGTTATAAGCCCACTTGACATAATTTTATTTATTGGTTAATCCGCTCCAATTCATTTTCTCCTAGCGTGATCAAGCGGGGTTCCTTCATAGACTTTGGCAAGCAATAGTTCGTTTAGGGAAGAGCGAGTGCATTGTCAGGAAAACCGCATGCTATAGTCGCCATTTTGTGGAGACGGAAGAAACCATCCGCTTATACAGTTCATTTGGTGTAACATCTCGCGTAATAGGCTTAAGGCTCGACCGGGGAATTTGAATTCGGTAACCTTAGGCCCGTCGCTCATCCATTTTTCTGGTCATTCGGCCGGATTTGAACTGGTGCTATAGCCGCACCGTCCATTCAATCATCGAACTGTTAGATTATTTCCTTAGACAATGCGCTCTAATTTTATTCAATAGATTTAATTAGTGTTTGTTTAGTTTAAATTTAAACTTTGGTTAGTTATTCGCAAATAGAATTCATTCATTTAAATAGTGTTTGTTTAGTTTAAATTAAAACTTTGGTTAGTTATTCGCAAATAGAATTCATTCATTTAATAGGAATTTAAACTTTGGTTAGTTACTCGCAAATAGAATTATTCATTTAAATAGTGTTTGTTTAGTTTAAATTTAAAGTTTATTATTTGTTCGCATAAGTGAATTGACTTATTTATTAAAAAACAGTTTAATCCCGCACGGTTATGCGACTACCCGACATTTGAAAAAAAAACATTGAGTTTAGCGAGCGACACGCGTCACCTCGGCCCGTTGTAAAGGCATTCATTTTAACGACGTAATACGGCACGCGTGTCCATCCTCCAGCGTTGTGCGATTAATTGTTATTAATCTAATATTAATTATAATAATTTAAAATGGCAGTTAGTGGAAATGAAATTAAACTCAAAACGCCAAGAGGGACGTACTCTTTTCACGGATACAGTATATTAGTGATCACGTAAAGAGCATTAACGTAGAAGCAGTGCGGGAAACGTACAACCACCGTCAAAAAGCGAAACTTATAGATAAACTAGACGCGTGGCGCCAAAATCCCGCCACAAAATGGAAAAAAGAAACATGAAACGTCAAACATGATATAATTTTTTAAAAATAGTATAGTTTTATTTTTCATGTACAATATTTTTGAGTGTCTGAATCCAACCCTGGTTTAATATTGGTAACGTAACTAAACTAACTATAAAATAAAACTTTAAAATAAAACTTTAAAATTGCGTTCATATAATAATTTAATTGAAACAAATTAATACAGGGTTATTAACCGATGATACAATATCCCATGTTCCTTTTTAATCTTCGTATCGTAATTTCTGCATCCTTTTAGCACGCAGCTTAACATATTTATGACAGACAAATCTGTCCTGCGCGCGCACTACTGTCGATCGATTCGCGTTGGCCCTAAACTGTAATTTTGGGGCCAGCGCACTGGTCCGTTTTAGTTGTTCGGTCGGCTCGGTCCTTACGCTAGTAATATATAAGTCAATGTATCGAGGTTGCACTGTATGTATTTATATATAAAACTCCGATATTAATAGATTTATAATTATTGATATATCGAATCCAATATTTAAAAAAATATCAACAGTCCTAGTTTGAACTGATCAGTTGGAATGATCAGTTGAACTGACCGTCTATGTCGTCCATAAAAGTAATTTTATGTTTAAACAGATATAACATAAAGTGAAGAAATATATAATATAATATAATATAATATATATATATATATATATATATATATATATATATATATATACAGTAATTTACTACTAGTATCTACTTTATTAGTATTATAGCTCAACCACCAAAAAGCGTGTACTATGGCAATCAAGAGAATGTTTTCAGAAAGACTTTTTAATGTTTCATACAAAACCTATATAAATGATGTAAACGTTGAAAAAGTAATTTTATGTTTAAACAGATATAACATAAAGTGAAGAAATATATAATATAATATGTATATATATATATATATATATATATATACAGTAATTTACTACTAGTATCTACTTTATTAGTATTATAGCTCAACCACCAAAAAGCGTGTACTATGGCAATCAAGAGAATGTTTTCAGAAAGACTTCTTAATGCTTCATACAAAACCTATATAAATGATGTGAACGTTGACTCAGGCGAGTTTTAGTGCAGTTGCATCGCAAGTTAGTAATATAATATTATGTTATGGTGGCTCCATACATCTTAACAGTTTAATACAAGTTGTAATATACAATATATATATATATATATATATATATATATATATATATATATATATATATATATATATATATATACAATATATATATATATATATTGTATATTACAACTTGTATTAAACTGTCATTTTACAGCTAAACGATTTTGGTGACAGTATTAAAAATATCTATTGTTGATTGTGAATCCTCTCGTAAATTTGAGAACACTGAATATAATTATTATTTACTTGTCTCTCCCATGTCCACCCATGTCTTACTTGCCATTGGCAGAATTATATCAAGAGAGGCCATAATTTAAAAAAGAAGAGGTGTTACACGACACAGTTATTGAAAAACTATAGTACCTACTACGTTAAGATGTATGGAGCCACCATAACATATTATTATATTACTAACTTGCGATGCAACTACACTAAAACTCGCCTGAGTCGACGTTTACATCATTGTTATAGGTTTTGTATGAAACATTAAGTAGTCTTTCTGAAAACATTCTCTTGATTGCCATAGTACACGCTTTTGGTGGTTGAGCTATAATACTAATAAAGTAGATACTAATAGTAAATTACTGTTGCGACGAATGAACAACGAATAAGTATTTGACACACAATATCCAATAATTTTTTTTCCCTTTTTTATTTTGGATTTTTATTTTTTAATAAACGTGCATGACTTAAAAAATATCTCAGTACAATAAAAATATCTAAATAATAATTTAAACCTTGTTCTACTTACTGAGTTTGCTGCAAGATAATGCATTAACCTACTGTATATCACGTCTTTTGTGGAACGTTAAGCAATACTTATGTACTACGTTATCAAACCTAGATAATACGATAGTGAGTCGGTGTCGAGAGGCGACAGAAGGAAACCGAAACAGGAGTTGGGCAGCAGTATAACAACTGAATCAACAAGTATGAAATTAAAAATTTTACACAACTGACTTCAATACGACCGAATCAATGTATTCGAAGTCAATTAAATACGTATTATTTAAGGATAACTCAAAAACTACTGGTCAGATCTTGATCAAATTTATACGGAACCACACGAAAAGCACCAGCTTAACAATAAAAATCATCAAAATCGGTTCACCCAGAAAAAAGTTCTGAGGTAACACAAATTAAAAAACCTACAGTCCAATTGAATACCCCCTCCTTTTTGAAATCGGTTAAAAATAATAAACTGTGGTTGCTAACCCGCTCACCATGCGTGGAAACTAGTGATATTTACCTAAGTTAGCAAAAGATATTTGCCATAGTTGGCAAATATCTTTTGCTAACTTAGGTAAATCGGGGACAATATGTGTAAATAGTAATGACTCCTTATTTTCACAACACGCTGTAACGGGTCGATTTCAAACCATCCGTAAAAAGTGGGTTTTTGAAATAACTCCTTTAATATTGTTGGAATATACGTTATTTCTTTATAACGCGATACTTACATAACATGTTAATATTGTACAGTTTGGAATATTAAACTAACATGTGTAACATTCCAGATAATCAAAAGAAACTATCTATTTTTTCATTTGTGTCACCGGTCATTTCCCCCGATTTTTCAACAAAACTTTAACTATGAAAAATACTACTGTGTGAAAACGTATATTTTTTTACTCTGGTTACACATTAATAACCATATACTTAAGTTATGCTAATAGTTTTAAATTAATACAAAATATAATACGATTTCTCTCTGTTTTATTTTGTGACCATTTTTTTCAATCATTAGTGTCGACTTAATAAACGTTCCGTTATTAAGAACACCTGTGCATTACTGCTATCCCCACTTTTACGCACGTAAAGAAGTACCCTAGTGGCACGAGAACGGTCGGTGATAGCAGACGCGTGCATCGTTAATTCTGGTAAGAAATCGCTTTTTTATTGAATTTCTGTGCTTAGTACGAAAACTGAATCATTCGTGTTTATGATAGTGTGATAATAAGTATTTGAACAATGGATTCTTTATCATGCACGTATATTAGCAACGAATAACGCGGATATTTTGTGGGCTCTTAATGGCGTCTAGAATATTCTACGACGCAATAAATTAGATTGTTGGTTGAAAATTTCATTCGTGTCACTTCATTAGTGTCATTTTTTTGAATAATACTAATGAAATGCAATGCTACACGAATGAAACGGTATATCACTTGACTACGAAAAGAAGGGTTATGATTATTTTTTTTTTAGCTTATGTGTCATCAAATTTGCTTTTAAAGCTTACTTTTACTTGCAAACTTTAAGAGGTTTCTCTCATTTTTTTTTTCATGATAAGTGCCATTAATTTATTTGTTAAAATTATGAGATGGATTTTCCTTATAGTATATGATAAATTGTTTAAGGTTTAAAATGGTGAAAGAAAAATGTAAGAAAAATGAAGATGAGTTGGAAAGGAGAAGGATTGCAAGAAGGGAAAAATATAAAAGAATAAAAAGCGATCCCGAAAAATATGCCGTTGAAAGGGCTAAAAAAAAGGAGGCTTACTTAAAAAGGAAAAGAGAGAAGAAAGTAAAAAATATCAACCAAATGTCTCCAAGGGCACAAAGAGCACAAAGAAAGCGTTGGAGAGAAAATTCGAAGCGATACCTGGAGAAGAAAGCACAAGAACGGAAGATACAAGAAGTAACCATTTCCCAAGTGCTCGAAGCTCACACAAAAATAAATGATAAAGAGTTCTCCGATCCTTTGTATGAGGAAAATGTAAAAAAAAGAGATAAATAAAGAAAGTAAGAAAAGAACATTCCAAAGTAAAATTAAAGCCTTACAGTTAAAACATGCAATAGAAAAAAGAGAAATGACCTTATTAATTAAGAAATACCAAAAGCGCTGCAGAATTTTGACAAAGAAATTAAATAAAATAAAAGAAAATCAGGCATATACTGTTTGGGAAGAAAACATTGCATTACCTACTCAAGTTCCTATTCATACACCTAGTAGCCCTGATGCTGCCAAAGAAGCGACAACCGAACAAGGTATTTTAAAGTCTTCTGGCAATTTGAAACGTAGACCTAGTTTAGAGTTTCGTAAAAAGTGTTTTAAAGACAGATTTCAGCAGAAGATTAAGCAAGGCAATGATAGCATCCAAGAATTAATCAAAAGTTTTTATGAAGATGACATTAACAGCCGCATTGGTGCAGGAAAGAAACAATATGTAAAAAAATTTGGAATAATAAAACAAAAACGGTATCTGCTGGATTCTGTTAAAAATTTGCATAAAAAATTTCTTGAAGAGAATCCTAACATACTGATTAGTTATGTAACATTTACAAGACTACGTCCATTTTGGGTCTATTTGCCACGAGATGACAGGGAAACATGTGCATGTATGGCACATACAAATATAGATCTAATGATTTTAGCTTTAAAGAAAAATAAAATAGTTGACATAAGGAATTACCGGGATATGCTGCACGTTCTTTGTTGCGACAAATACAATAAAAAGTGCGTTGGCAGAGATTGTAAAACTTGTAAAAACAGAGTTATATCGTACAATGAATTTAATAATACGGACGAAATCGAGTACCATGAATGGTGCAGAGATAAAAAGAAATTAAGCTCCAAAGAAATAAATATAGTGAAAAAATTTACAAGGAAAATAATGCCTAAAGACCTGATACTTAAACTTGAGCATTCCCTTCCGAAATTCTTTATTCATACTGTGAACATCCTCAATCAACATCAAGCTGTTACTCTATTGAAAGAATCCCTTAATCATGACGAAACATTACTCCACATGGACTTTTCTGAAAATTATAGTTACAAATTTGCTGAAGAGGTGCAAAGTCTACACTTTGGGGGTAGCCGGGGACAAGTATCTCTTCATACCGTTGTAGCTTATCTCAAAGAAGGAAGAGAGACTGTTAACCACTGTCTGTGCACGGTCAGCGAATGTACACGGCATGATTCCCCTGCAGTCTGGGCACACTTACAGAAGGCGTTACAATTTGTGTTCGAAAAATGTCCTTATATTACTACCGCCCACATTTTAACAGATAGTCCAACAAGCCAATACCGAAATAAACAAATATTTTACATATTGACTCAGCTCCGCGATACCTTCCCATCGTTAAAGCTAGTTACTTGGAATTACCAAGAAAGTGGTCATGGCAAAGGCGCTCCTGACGGCATTGGCGCTGTGGTTAAGCGGACAGCTGATCATCAAGTTAAATGTGGGCGTGACGTCGGGGATTTTTCAACATTCCTTGCAGTTGTTCGCGAAAATATTAAAAATGTTGAGATAAAAGTAGTAGAGGAGCATGAAATTATAGAAAAAGAACTTCTTCTTCCTAAGGATATTTCACCATTCAAGGGTACTATGTTAGTTCACCAAGTGATCTGGAATTCTGGATCAGAATTTCTTGAGTTCCGAAAACTAAGCTGTTTTTTGTGTTTGGATAAAATCTGCGAACATGAGGATAAACATATGCAATTACATAAAATTTATAAGAGTGTCGTCGAATCGGCTGTCCAAAATATAAAAGTTATTCCACCAAGCAAACGAATTACGGTATTGAGCGATGTATCCATCCAGTATTATAATCGGAACAATAATCCGTCTACTTCCGGAACACGCAAAATTATAAAATCTGTTAAAAGACTTGCAGATGTAAAATTTGATTGGACAAATCAAACGTTCATAAACACACAACAGAAGGTGTCTAATGGGCATGAAGAGGCTTTCCTCCGCTTTATTAATGAACGGTCTTTTGAGAATACGGAATAAGAAAAATGGAGAAATAGAAAGTAATGGTAACTTTAAAACATGATCAAGACTGATTACATAATTAAGTTAATACGAAAATAAATCAAAGAATTGAAATGATAAAAATAAGAAATCAACAAGATTGAATAAGAAACTAGCTATAAGATTTAACTAAGTATTAATATAATATTACCTATCCAAAATGACTGAATAAATAAATAAGTGAGGTAGAAATACTTTTATGAGAAATATATGCCTACATAATTAATTATACGTTGTTATAACCAAAAAAGTTTGTTACTTATATTTTTGTAGATCACAGAAATAATTATGTTACGTAATCGTGTATTCTTAAAATTTGTTTTGTATTGTTTTTAAATGTCTTTTGATTAAAAGTTTAATAAAAGTGTTTTTGTTTTTGTTCTCACCTAAAAATGCTAACATACATATTTTCTTGTGCATTATTAAAAAAGATTAATCACAGAAAACGTAATAGTACTACGTACCCAATATTATAATAGTAAAGTATCTGATTTAGTTAGCCAATATCATTAGTGTCATGCAGACTTCATTCGTGTTATGCGAGTTTCATTCGTGTTCCCAGGTATATCATTCGTGTTACCCTGATCTTGATTTTTTGTCACTTTTGAGTAGATACGCACCGTGATTTTACATTCTGATGTATTAACTTCATAAAAGTAAACGTTATGGACCGTCAGATAACAATAAAACGGGTATTTGCACAAAGCGAAAAAAAGTGTCAAATTAATTCGACTTGTGAAATCGACCTTAACAGTGCCATAACAAAGAATATAATCTTTAAAAGTAATTTAAATATTAAAAAAATATAAAGTTATTATGTATTGTGATGACATAGACAAAAAAGTACAATGTTTAAAAAATTGCAAATTTTCATAAATATACAATTAACCCGAACAGTTGTAATAACAAATAAGTGATTGTTAAGTGTAATAGTGATTTATAATAAATATACTTTAATTAGGAAAGTTTGTCAGAAAAAACTCTTAAAACGTCTTTAATTAAAAAAAAAGTGTAATTATAGTTTTGTGTTACAAAATCAATTTGAATTAAAAGATAATCAAAATAAATTGTAAACATAATTATATTAAAATAAGTGGGTGATTTTCAAATTTTGTTCATACAAAGTTCGTTAGTCTAAAACTCCGTTGTTTACCGAACAAAACGAACCTTGGACCTTGATGTAAACAAGTATTGTCGCCAACATATTGCATATAAGTATTCATCTTTTTCGCTTGAAATTACGTCGGATTCATAACTCAGTGGTACAACAGTCGTTAATATATTCAAAGATTAAATACTTTATTTCCTTTTCTTTTTTAACTTTTAATTTACTGTATAAAATACTAAGGCAATTTTTAAACTTTTTATTTAAAAAGTAAGTGACCAAATAGATATTAGATAATATATATTATATTGACCTTTCGTTAAAATGCCATCACAGAAAAACAAAAATTTATCAACGATTTCCATAAAGACAATTATGAATATCTGCACCCATTGTAAGAAAGTGATCACTTCTAAAGAGATCCTAAAATGCTTTATTTGTAATGAAAAATATGACTTAAATTGCATAAACATGTCAATTAGAAGATTTAATGCTATGAATATTGAAAAAAAAATCCAAATGGAAATGTGATCAATGCATACATAAGACAAATACTAAAAAAAAATATGTTCACCCAACGCTGATATTTCTCATAGCGTGAAAAAACAAGTCAATACAATAAAAATGACGTTTCACAACATAAAATGCTGCATAAAAGTAAAAATGAAACTGAAAGCTTATGTAATCAACTATTAACCACCAATAAATTCCAAAACAGAGTGAAAAATCGCACACATATAGAAACGTACTCGGACCCTGAAACTTCCTTATCATCCGAAGATTCAAACATAATAAAAAGCTTACCCGATCTATCGACGTTAGTAAATGATGAATCCATTGAGTTAAAACAAAGAAACTCGGAACTACAGCTAGAACTAGACAGTAGCGCATATGGAAATAGAAAAGCTTATTCTTGAGAAACATAACTACAAAAAAGGGGTTGACAAATTGGCAGCAAAAACAAAAAAGATTACTTATGATATGTTCATCAAATAGTCCTAAAAAAATTAAACTACAGAAAAACGACGCATTACTCCAAACACCTAATAATTTAGATTTAGTAACACAAACACCTAATAAATTGGATTTAGAAACGCAAACATCTAATAAATTGGATTTAGCAACGCCAACGGCGGCAATAAAAGACGCCAGGATAGATGACAAAAATAACCTTTTATTGTCTAAAAACAAAAAACGTAGAACTAGAAAACAAGTTGGAGGAAGATATTCGGCATCTGCGTGAAACAAACTGCAATATTAAAAAAAAATATTTATATTTGGAACGCAGCAATGTGTCGGTTTAGCCTCAGCGTTGCTTCGTTCGAGAGAACATAGTAAATATAAGAAATATGATATAATCGGTTATACAAAACCTGATGCGTTAACTTAAAATGTATTAAAAAGTTGTGTTCTCAATCAAGACTATGGTTTGTCAGACAAAATTATTATTTGTGTTGGTGAAAACGATAAAAATCCTCTAGTTGTTTCATCAGAATTATATATAACATTAAAACGACTAAGAAAACATACCGTAATTATTTGAAATGTTTTAAATAGTAGATATTTAAATACGGGAATGATAAATTCAAATGTTATAAAAGTATGTAGTCAATATAAAAACTGCTATTTTATAAAAGAAAATTCCTATTATAAAAATCTATTCAACACTTGTAAAAAAATTAAATAGATTATGATCAACAATTTTTAGATTATTCCCAACTAAAAAATATTATCAAACAGCGTTCAACAGTAATTAAATGTTCTGAATGAATTAATAAAGTACATAAGAAAGGAACAATTCCTTACTATTTCGCAAATATAAAAAAAAAAACAAAAAATAATATTTTAAATAAAAAATCTTGGGTTAAATTGGATAGAATAGAGTGTGAGTGACATTAAGGAACCTATAAAGTTCAAAAAAGGAACTATCCCATTTTCCAATTAAAAAAAGAATAGTTTATTTCAAAATTAGGGCATTAGACATCTGTAGAAACAGTTTTTATATAAAATACAAAAAATAGGAAATTCCTATTTGCGAGTATCACCGAAGCATGAGGATAAAAAAACTTACTGTGCGCAATTCTGAAGAACCAATAGACGTGATTTGTTAAAGAAAATTCGTAAAAAATGGAGATGAGGAAAACGTAATTTTTAAAAACTTTAAACTGGCGCCTCAGAAAACAATCAAATGGTGGTGTGTATTCTTGTAAAACAAAATTTCAAGTATCGTATCTTAGATTTCTTACAACCGTTTTCAAAGAAAATTGAGTTTGAATGTTGTAGTATAGAATTGACTGAACAAAAATGTATTATTATTTGTATTTATAGAACACCAAACTCGGAATTAAGTAAATTTTTTACTAAACTTGATGCTTTATTACATAAGCTATGTGAAAAAATAAACAAAAAAAATATAATTGCTGACGATTTTAACGTAAATTGGTGAGTGATAATGTTGAATAATAAATCTGATAGATTAGGAAGTATATTAAAAATCTATGAATTTTAAATGCATATAACGAAAACAATGAGACTACATACATGTATAGACCAAATTGCAAGTAACATACAAGGAGCTATTGGAAAAGTCCATGAATTAGGTCTATCAGATAACAAGGGGCAAACATTAAGTTTTTTATTAAAAGATACAGCAAAGTCTCCTGGGCATTATTATATATTTAGAAGCCAATACACGGTAAGTAATATTAGCAGTTTCTGCAATCACTTAAAATCATTATCATTCTTGGACGTATATGAGGAGCAAAACGTAGAAAAAGCATTTACTCAATTTTATGACACGTTTGTACTAATTTATAAGCTGTGCTTTCCCATAAATAGAGTCAAAGTAAATAATTTTGATCAAAAATTAAAATGGCTTACAACCGGTATCAAAATTTCCCGTAGAACCAAACGTGCACTTCGCTATAAATATTATAAAAAATAAAACTCACGAGAACAAAAATAAATAAAAACTTTATAGAAATATCCTAAAAAAAAAAAACTATTTTACTAGCACAAAAGCAGATGAATCACAAATACGTACTTAACTCAAAAAAATAAAACTAAAGCCACTTGGAACCTAATAAAAGATAATAGTCAGACACATCCAAATCTCATTGATAGACTCAGTCAATTATCAAAATATACTAAATCCCATTGAACTAGCTACAACATTTAATCAGCATTTCATCTATTCCATTAAAGACAGAATATCACATAATAGTATGGAAAAATTAAGCGTAACAAGTCTAAGAAATCAATCTAGTATTTATTTAAGACCATGTGATATTAAAAATTAAAAACCATATTTCATCACTTAAAAACACAAAATCTACTGGCTGTGATGAAATACAAACAAAAGTTTTAAAGAGGTGTCCAGGAAGTATCGTAGATGTATTTTGTTTTCTCATTAATAAGTCACTTGAAGCGGGAATTTTTCCAAAGAATTGAAATTATCCGATGTTATACCATTGCATAAAAAAGGTGACAGAAATAATATTAATAACTATAGACCAATTACATTAATATCAATATTATCAAAATTGTAGTTAGGTTAGCTTCAATGGCTCCCCCATATATTAAAACTAGCTAGCAGACTTAGTTCTGCAGCATATGCTGTGAAAAAGATAAGAACTCTTACCAGTGTTGAAATAGCTAGAATAGTTTACTTTAGTTATTTCCATAGCATTATGTCTTATGGTATTTTGCTATAGAGACACGCGACTGACACTGAAATTATATTTATTTTACAGAAGAGGGCCATTAGAGCAATATATAATTTAAAACCAATGGAGTCACTGAGACAAAAATTTAAGGAAATTAATATATTAACTCTGGCCTCTCAATACATTTATGAAAATGTAATGTACGTACA